ACTGAGGGGTTAGAAGTCCTGTTGTCTCTGCCCCGCGCTTCTCGGTCTGTGGTAAATTGCGCGGTACGAAAGAAGAGGCCGAGTTACATCCCGGGGGTCTGCGCTAGGCTACTCGGCGGTACGGGGAATCGGGCACAAACGCCAGTTGGAAGAGTGCTTCAGCACTGTTCTAGTTTTCGGTAGTAATAAGCCTAAAAATACCCAGTCTTCCTTAGTCAGCACGCCAGGCACAATGATTCTGAACAAATGGCAGCAGTCAAGTTTACTGAATAGCATGCTGCTTATACAAAGATTTTCGGAAGATAACTTTTCTGTGAAGTGACATCGTTAACTAGTGATAAGTTGTCTCGTGGTTTTCACTTTTAAAATTCTTTACAAGTTGCAATATGCACAATGTGGCAGGCATTCCTTTTTTTTTTTTTTTTAATAAAACTGATTATGGGAAGTAATGCAATAAGGTGGAGTGACTCATCAAGACAGTGTAGTCAGTCTTTGACAATCACAGTTACAGTGCCTTATCCCTGATTACGTTTTCCTTTGGCTCATTCTGCTTGTGCAGGTTTGCATCTAAAATGTTTTTAAATACTTTATTAATGTCATGTATTTCTTTTAAAGACACACATACCTGGATTGAGCTGTAAGTCTGAACACTGTAAATTGTGTGCATGTGAACTGGCAAGTGAAACTAACTGAAACCCCCATTGAAATTTGTCTTAAGCTTTTTTTGCCAGTCAAAAGCAAATAGACTTGTTTATTATGCATATGTTTACAGTATCGTTGTATTTTGTAGGAGAATTTATATGAAATACTGGAGATTGTGATTTCTCTGTGAATCACACAAGTATAACTGTCACAAAAGCTGAACTGCATCCTTAGAGCAACTTACTGAGAAATGAAGTGATTTCAGTCTTTGAACAAGAGGCTGAAAACTGCTTAAAGACAGTGGGTAAAATCCTTTCTTCAGTGAAGTTAACAGGAAAAAAAAAAACCCAAACCCACCAAACCTTCCCCTCAGTTTTAAATTAAGTAAATTGTCTGTGATAGGTTGTGGGTTTTTTAATTTATTTATTTTTTTTAACTGAGTAGCTTAGTTAACAGATTTAGCTTTTCATATCAACACCTCTGAGTTGCTTTATGAAACATGATATAACGATCTCTGTAGAATCATTTAGATAAAAGTTGAAGGCACAATGTCACTAAGACTTAGAAGGAGCATCTGAGGGAGCTGTGGTTGTTTAGCCTGGAGAAAAGGAGGCTGAGAGGAGACCTTGTTGCTCTCTACAACTACCTGAAGGGAGGCTGTAGTGAGGTGGGGGTCAGTGTCTTCTCCCAAGTAACAAGTGATAGGATAAGAGGAAATGGTCTCAAGCTGTGCCAGAGGAGATTTAGATTTGATTTAGATTTAAGAGCAGTCAAATATTGGAATAGGCTGCCCGGGGAAGTGGTGGAGTCACCATCCTTGGAGGTGTTAAAAGAGGTGTAGATGTGGTGCTTAGGGATGTGGTTTAGTGGTGGGCTTGGCAGCGTTAGGCTAACGGTTGGACTCGATGATCTTAAAGGTCTTTTCCAACCTAAATTATTGTATAATTCTATAAAGATTCACTTAGATAATTTGGATTATTTACACATAAACCTGTGCTGATGCTCAATACTTTACATTTGGACTTTGTCACAGAACATTTGATTTCTATCTTTCAACAAGTCATTTCAGTGCTTTGTGTGTAATTTGCCTATCTATATGATAGGTGTCCTGCTCAGCTACCCAAAGTGATATAAGTTTCCTTGATATGGTTAAAGCTTCACAAGATTAACTGAGAAGGTTCCTCCTTAAATGTGTAATGTGTTTGCACGTTCTTACCAGGAGAAGCTTGTTGGTTTTAGACATCTGTTTGACTAATATTCTCTTCTGCTGATGTTTTCATTTGCTGACAAATACATTGTAGGAAGTTGCAAGTTGTTGGTTTTGATATTAGTAATAAGGAAAAGCTTTGTTTTAATTTATTTAATTGCTTTCTCACCGCTACTACTTCGCTATACATAGCAACAACGATTTTCTTACTTGGAGAATAGGACATAAAAGTGCCACCGAAGACTGGTAGAATCTTGCCAAATGGCAGTTGAAGATGTTACTCACATTGCTCTTTTCAGTAGGTCCACAGAAATGAGCACCTGCCACTTTGCTGAGCACAGACGTATGTAACTAACTATAGTAAAGTTTTGTGGTTTTTTAGATACCAAATATTTTTTTAACAGTGGCTTTTTTTTTTTTTTTTTTTTTTACTTAGAAAGCTCTCAAAAGATGGCGGAAAGCTGGTCTTTCTTGGATACTTTTGAGCCTAACTTCAGGCCTCTGGTAGTAATTGAGCTTGCAAAGGGCACCAAAGAGGAAACCATAGAATGGTTCACTAAACGAATTGTGGACAAAAAAGCAAACGGAGGTGAGTACAGTATGACCTTCTGTAACACTTCAAAATCAATTTGGTTGTTGTTGTAATGTGAAGACAAACAGAAAATTAGTTTTCAGGTAGTTTGTGGTTTCATTTTTTTAGCCAATCCCACTCCATTTTGCATTTTTAAAAGTCGCTTAATTTTATGTAAGAGTAGAGCTTCATGCTGTTGTCATGAAAATGTAATAATCCTGTTAACCCAGTTATTAATGAAAATATTGGCTTAAGGTCACATGCCTGTTGAACTCTAGAATCCTTCCATTTTGGTGGTGGAACCCTGATAACCTGTCTTTCAACATAGTTTTGATATCCGTTTTTATATTAATTGTCTAGAGCATGTTTCTCTTGTTGCTTATGAGAACACTATAAGCCTTGCCAAAATGAAGACTCATCACATGTACTATCCTGTCCACAAGACTAGGTACCATGTTGTAGAATGAGGTTAAGTTAGCAGGAAGCAATTTGATAATTAATTTTGGATTTTTAATTATCTTTTTGCTAGCTTGTAGGTTCTTACAAAGACAGTATTTCGTTACTCATTTTAGTATACTTCCAGGAATTGAAGTTAGGCTAATTGATTTGTAATTCCTTAGTCTTTTTTTTTTTTTTTTTTACATTTTTTAGAAGGGCACTATTTATGGCTGTTGAAGCTTATACCTTATGGTCAGTAATATATCTGTGACTACTGCATCTGTGAATACAAACTTGCTTTCAGGCCTCTGTTAGATAAGTCAGGAATGTTTCTATTTCAAAAGTGTATTCCCCTTAAAACAAGGGGGGCTGTTTGCAGAAGCACTGGTTGCTTATGTGATGTGAGCATTAGGGGAGTAGATCCAGACTGGCCCCATTGTTGCAGTTCACTGTCTGTGAGCGTTTCCACAGAAACAGGTTAAATCGGGGGTAACCCTGCGAGATTCTGAACACCATCCATCAGGTGCTGTTGAAGCCTTAATTCTTTGTGCCCTTAAAAAGATGCAGCTTCAGCACTCCTGATAACTAGGTCAAGTATGATGGATTCTAAATAAAATACTAGGTTTTGAGATGTAATTCTTATATATTTTCTTCCTTATTTTGCATTTCTTTACTTTAAAGGTGCACAACTGCTGGTTAAACCATTGGTCATGGAAAACGGAGGTGAAAATATTTATCTAGTTGGAGCTTCCCACTTAAGGCTGTTGCTGGGAGCTGAAACTGTGGGTTTGGTGAAGGAATGTAATGATAACTCAATGAGAACTTTTACATACAGCAGTAGAAAAACTTTCAAAGATTTTGCAGGTAAGTGATTAGAGGAGTCTGTCGTTGCAAAGCTGTGGCTAAAGATTATAAGCAATTACACTGCTAAATCTTTCACCGTCTTTCTGTGCCTTGGAATTGTAACAGTGAACAGAAAGGAAGAACAGGCGTTGAAAAATTTTTACCTATGGAAATTCAGCTTGCATAATGAAATTAATTTTTTTTTTGCTTTCACATGGCTTTCACTTTTTGTTTGTGTTTTACTTTATGCTTTTATAGCCTGCAAATAGTCTCTTATTTGTATGAAAGGTTTTTGTTGAAAACAAAACAAGAAAAAATAGTTGATAAACGTGAGTGCAGGATTAACAATCAATGTTATGAATTAACATAGCGATTGAATTTCTGTGAGCCAGTTTTGAGGCTTATTGTCTTATAATTAGTGGGAGAAAATAGAAACATTTTGCTCTATTATATTTACACATCAATTAAATGATTAAATAACACTACAGAGCCATTCAATGGAATTTGGGCATGATTAGTGAAATTATTCCTTTTCCTCTTTTATTTTGAGGAGGTGGCAGCACAGTAACATTTTTTTTTTTTTTTAAATGTACTACCTGTGAGGTATTTAACCCCCCTACAGTGGGAGAACTCAGTTTGCTGTCCAGCTAAATATTGTAATTCCAGCTTAGTATTGCTAATAGTTTTCATGTGCCTGTTTCGGTGATGCCTTTCACCACGTTTTCAATATAAAGGTTCTTGGGTCTGTCTGAAACAATAATAAAGTTGAGTTTTGTTGTTTGTTTGATGCTAGTTTATTTGACACTGCTGCTGTGTGCAATAACTGATGCAGTGTATTTTCTTTTGTGACCTTGCTTTTCTGAAATTAGGAAGCCTTGAGAAGAATTGTCACTTGCAGAGGTGCCATTTCTGTTTCTTTCATGCGTTTGCATCCTTAATGCTAATCTGACTGTCACTGCTAACAGATTCTGTAGTAGCAGCTGGAACTCCCAACTACTGTAAATCTAAAAGCTTTTGTTGTATTTCTTTGTCTTTTTTCTTTTTTAAAACACTAATATAATTTTAGGTTTGTCCAGGTCTGATCAGAGGATAAAATAGTTGACCGTGCTTAATGAGGTGAAAAATGCATCATCTACATAAGAAATCCTGCAGCCTGTGTTGTCTTACTAGTATTTCTAGTTCCCCAATTTAACTGATACTATACTCTTATTCTTTCTGTTGAAGATTTGTTGCTGTTTTACCTTCTTACTTAGGATATTTAGGGTTGGTAGTAACTGTCACGAAATATTTTTTTTTTCTTTTCTGATTGTAGTAATTTTTGATAGTTATTTGCTGCCAGGGTTGTCTTCCTATGCTGCATGATTTCATACTACCTTCTTTTTGATTTAGATGACAATCACAGTTTCCTTACAATGGCAGAATGTCAGTATATCATCAAACATGAACTCGAAAATTTGAGAGCTAAAGATGAAAAAATGATCCCTGGATATCCTCAGGCAAAGCTGTATCCAGGAAAATCGATTGGTAAGCAGTGTAGTTTGTTGCCTGTAACTCACTGTGATGATGTAGGATAGTGTTTGTGGTGAAATACCTTAATTTTCCTGCAGTGAAGAGAAATCCTTCAGACATTAAAGTCCCGCTGTTTTTAATTAACTTTGTTTTTTCACTGCTCCACAGTGATAGGACGAGGCAACAGATGAACAGTGCAAAAAGAGAAATTCTGAATAGATCTTGAGGAAAATGTTTTTCACAATGAGGGTAATTCAACATTGGAGCAGGGTTTTAGAGATATTGTGGTAACTGTCCTGGGAGGCTTTTAGCTCTTCACTAGACAAGGCCCTGAGCAGCCCAATGTGAGCTGGAGCTACTTTGAGCAGGAAGTTGGACCAAATGACTTCCAAGTCCTTCTGTGAGGCTGAGACTCTGGCCTTATGTTCTTTTGAGTTGGATAATTTTCACATATATTGATGTCACCCATTAAAAATATTACATAATGATATACTTGGATTGTCTCTGTATAAAAATACTGGAATGAATAAGTGTTCCAGAGCTATAAATTTCACAATATGAAGGAAAGAAGTTTTATATCATTCATCCTCCTCTCTGCTTCAAGAGCTCTTCCTTTTCATGGGAGAAAGAAGCAATGAACTAGTGCTATTTTTATGGTAGCTGGAACTAGTTCATTGGCAGAGCGCTACAGTTTCTTCGGACAATTTATCTTAGTATTTGTATGTCCTTTTAATAACAGTGTCTTTATTCATTAGTGTTGGTCATCAAAGAGAGAGATCTGTGCATATCAGTGCACAGTGCACAGGAAATGTAAATAAACGTAGATGCCAGACGAGTTTATGTTGGTAATGTTTTATATAGCTAAGGTATTTTGCCAGTTATGTCAAGTAGATGCCAATGTGAAATAGTAGAAAACTCCCACACAACTTCCAGTGCCTCCACTCTCCTGTTTTTGAATTTATTTTCTTTTTTAATAATTCTATGGTTGTAACTTCCAGAGCAGTTTATTAATTGTTTATTCACACAGGTAGTATTGCTTTCCATAACAGTTAAATACAAATAGTGGAATATTTGGTTTGTTTGCAATGAAGATATGTTGTAATTTAAAAAAATGTTTTTAGTATCTTTCCCGTATTTAATTCAACAATGGCTCTTCAATTTAGTGTTTTGTTTTTGCCATGTCTGTTTGATTTTGTTATGCCTTTCTTTGCTCGAATGCAGGAGCCAGGCCTTTCCCCACAAAGCTACACATGGTATTTCAGTTCTGACCTGTAGTGCTTCCTTGTTATTCAAGCCGCAACTGATTATATTGCAAACCTACGGAATAGTTAGTAGATGTAAAAAGATTACTCTTTCTCTTTGTCCCTACAGTGGATGGCACAGTCTTTGTAGCAATAGGTAGAACTGCTCTATATGATGAATAATTTTTAACTAACATGCAGACAATTTATTTGGTCTTAGGATTTAAATGCTAGATTTATTTCAAAGGAACTTTAGGCTTGCTAAGTACATAATGTAGCCTGTTTGCTTATATCAGCTTCACTGTCTTTTGAAGGAGTACTAGGTACCTCTTTTTTTCCTTTTTCCTTCTAGTGAGAAGATTATTGACCAGTGGTATTCTAGTTCAGATTTTCCCACTGCATGATAGAGAAGAGTTGAAAAAGCTCCGTCACAGCTGGTACGGCCGAGTGAAAGTTGGCTATCAACCTTTAGGTATGTGAACGTTTACTCCACTACGAATAAAGTGCAGGGTTTCTTCTGGAGAAGTTTTCTCTTCAGTTTGTGTGAGAAGACCTACTCCAGCATTTAGCCTCTATAGAACTGAAACTCCTGCGTGGAAGGTAAATATGTACAAAGAAGTCTGTCGTTTCACTAAGAGTTTACCTTTTCACATCCCAATTACCCATTGCAGTTCACCTCCTCTAACATTACCTTTCTGCCCAAGTTGCTTTGTTGGCCATTGTGAACCGAAGTCTGTGTTTTACCCAGCCTTGCTTTTACTGTTCTTGGAATCAATGGGGTGGCTTAGGCTCTGGTTAAGGAAGCATCCACATTTCCAGACTTGTTGACATGTGCAGTTGGGGTCTCTTCATTGGATCCTCTTTGATTCTAAGATGGCTGTAGGATAATATTTTGCTATAATGACTCGCAGTACAACTGTTCTGGAGGGAAGCACTGAGTGTGCAGGCTTCTGTCTCTTGATTTTCTTTCTTGTGGCTGCAGGAGTTCTGTGTATAGGCTTTTGGCCATAGTTTCCAAATTGGAGCTGGGGGGCAGTTCAAAGGCTTGGCATTTGCACTGTGGTCACCTAGCATAGTCTTGAAGTTAGCTCACTGCTTTTTTACCCTTTGGGCCAGTTTTTCCTCTTTAAGCATTTCTGTGTAACGTCCTGAAACAGTTTAAGACTTGCAAAAATAGTGGCTCAAAGTCTGCAGGTTCAGTGTCTGCAAGCTTCTATGTAACAACAGTTTGCACATCACAAATTCTCCCTTCCCATCAGTAAAGCAGTTATGGACCAAGCCAAGACTGTTTTCTCAAACCGACTCTTGACAGGAAAGCTTCTCAATGTCTGGAATTCCCAAAGCTATTGTGAGTGGTGGGCATGTCAAAAGTATGTTTACAACTTTTTAAAATTAATTGTCTGCATGTAGGCTGTATGTCGTTGTGTGCCAGCCTCACTTGAATATATCTTACACACTGAATAAGCTTAAAATAAAAATAATGTGGCAATGTGGAAAGTTACATTCTGGATTCTAAACCTGTAAACTTCGCTTAAGAAAATAAACATTTGGGAGTTTGCCTGATAATATTAATCTCTGGGTCTTGCAGTTGCTTGAGGTTCTTTCCTGAGTTACGGGAAGTTAAAGATCTGGCTTGATAATGCCTGCTTCCAGAGTATTGTATTAGGGGTCTTAATGTGTGCTTGCCTTTTGTTTGTGCAGGAGAGGGTTTTTTTTTGACTGACATTGAATACACACAAAATTTCAAAGTAAATCCCAGGAACCCTGTTACGTATCTACTAATTTAGGAATGTCTGTCATGTTGTGTGTTTGGAATGTGAAATCGTGCTAATGACCTACACTTGGACTTACTTGTTAATAAATTTTTGATTGAGAGGGAGGTTGGAGTGTTGATTCTTCTGTCTGTTTGCCTTTCTGTCTCGCTTTCAGAAACTTACGTGATTGGCAATTGTGAACTTCTGCTGTAGTGCTTTGTAAACCATAAGTCCTAAGAATATTCTGGTATTCCACATGAGGTTTTCATGTGCTAGTCTATTATGGAGAGTACATTTGCAGTGTCAGTTCAGACATCATGATGTCATGGCTGTTTCGTTAATCTGGTGAATGCATAGCAGTGGCATACAAGCAATCCGATCTTCCAAGCAGGCAAGATAAAACACATTTCAGCATTCTAAACTTGGTTTGCTAGGCATTTCTGTGTCTTATTATGTGGTGCCATTTCTAGATCATGTTGAATAATAATCCTATATTTTTTTGTTAGTGGTAAAGTAAATGAGATTTTATCTTCCTTGAAGTAATACATCTGTCATGAAATACATCCATTAGTAGTGCACTTCTCAAGTCTTTATAACACCTGAGCAGACAACCTTGGCAAGCACAGCAAGTGTCTATCGCGTGTCTCAGTTGTCTTCTGAAGGGACTGTCTCAGCCTGGGTGTGCTATCTGACAGATTAGAGATTTAAGATTTCAGTGTACCTTACCATCTATTCCTTTAGTTCCTTGAGGGCTGGCAAAGCACAACTAGTCCTTTTCGTCCCTGAGCAGGCTGAAACGAATTTCTTTTCTGGGTGTACTTATACTAGGAGAAGCTTCAGAAGTTAGGTGTCACTCGCTGTTAAAGTTTGTTTTTTATGATACTGGATGTCTTCCATGGCATCCTAGCCATTCACGGATAGTTAGAGCATTGGTAGAATGCTACTGTTTTGGTTTGGTGGTTTTCTTTTTTTGTTTCCTCTCTGGATATCTGATGTTGATATGTTAAGTATCGAGACATTTGACTTCCCTGCCATCTGAATATATGTATATATGTTTATGTGTGTGTCTATGTATAACATAAGAAAAAAATTTCAAGTAACATTGAGTTTTTAGAACATGGGAGAAGGAGGAACAAAAAAGCAATATTATTCATTGTGTTATTTAGAAACAAAATTTGGGCCAAGGGATTCATGTAAAGTCAAGTTTGATACTGTACTGACATCTATGTTAAGTGTAGTCTTAATTGATTAATTTTTTTCTGCAGATGAGATACGCTGCTACTTTGGAGAAACCATTGCTCTTTACTTTGGCTTCTTAGAGTACTTCACATTTGCGTTGATTCCAATGGCTGTCATTGGGATTCCTTATTATGTGTTTGCATGGGAAGACTATGACAAATATGTGATGTTTGCCACATTCAATCTGCTCTGGTCCACTGTGATACTGGAAGTTTGGAAGCGGATTTGTGCTATCATGACATACCGTTGGGGGACACTCTTGATGAAACGACAGTTTGAAGAACCACGACCAGGCTTCCATGGTGTCCTGGGTATCAATCCCATCACTGGGAGGGAGGAACCGGTGTACTCAAGTATTAAGAGACAGATGCGGATTTATCTGGTGTCTTTACCATTTGTGTGCCTTTGCCTCTACTTCTCGCTGCATGTGATGATGATTTACTTTGACTTGGAACAGTGGGCTCTGGATTATCATGAAGAGAATGAGTCTAACTTCAGCAGCTTGATGCTGTTTGTGCCCAGTATCATATATGCTGTTGTGATTGAAATTATGAACCGTATCTATCGGTATGCTGCTGAATTCTTAACATCATGGGGTAAGAAAGTTGTTTGTTCTTCTTTCTTAAAGTTAAAATCCCAAATGTTTGGGATTTGTTTCTTTGTAGAATATGCTACTGTGAGTTCTTGTTCAGTGGAATGCTAAAGAAGTTTCCTGAAGTAGATTTTTACTGTGGGGTAAGAAAGATGGCCATTTTACCTTCTTAAGTTTACTTTGAATGTTCCGAGACTGCAGTTTCACATTTGGTTTAATTTGGTCTGAGTCTAGCATGCCATCGCTAGGGATAATCCTGCCTTCCTCCTCAGCCTCTCTTTGCCTTTGGTGCCGAAGTCGCCCTTCCCTGATCTAGCTCTTTGTTTTGCTGTATCGGCCGTAGTGCTGGCGAAAGGGATGAGATCTGTGAGGATGGGAGCTCAGAGGTGGATGGTAGGAGGGACTGTTCTGGCAGGCTGCACCTACAACCTGGGTTTGTGAGTACGTCTTAGTCTAGTGATATGTCTGTGCAGAGGATGAAGGCACTGAGATAATGAAGCAAAATCTCAAAGCACCAGCTAAGTGTCATATGAGAGTGTTTGTGTATGCCATATATATATAACAAAGACTGGGATTTCACATTCCTATCAAAACATTTTCCTCTGGGCACTCTCAGAAGAGGAGGAATGTTATAATAGATTGCCTCTTTTTTTTTTTTTCCTTGTGTATTTGACTGACTTAACAGATTGGGCCTTATGTTTTGTAACCTAACGTAAGGATAGTGAAATGTTAGTCTTTATTTTGAATTTTAGCACTTCTACAGGTATGTGCGGTCACTGTCAGACAAAGTTAATAGATGAAGCTAATTGGGAGTTAACTGATTTGTGTAGCTCAATATGGCATACATTTACAGGACAGAATCCAGGTTACTAAGGCTGGAGATGCAGAAGATTAATCTAAGAAAGATTAAGCAAAAGGGAGATTGATGCAGAAGGCAGGATAAAAAGAGGTGTTGAAGTAGGGATTGGTTATGCATGCCAAAATGATTTACCTAGCAAATTCCAAGTTTAACAGCAGCAATAGTAAAAGCAAGCAGTTTCTTGGTTAGTTTATGACTGTTCAAGGATTTTATTATTTAAATAATGACTTTTAAATTCATATCGACTGATTTGTTTCAATTTTTTCACTATACTGCAAGAAAAAAACCTTTACACAAAATGCCCAGTTGTGTTGGTCAGGTAGACTAAAACGTTTTTAACAGGTAACCCAAATTTTTTTGTTTTGAAGGTGATCTTTCGTATTCAGCAGCAACAGTATTTGAGTAACTCACTACACTGACAGCTTGTGCCTTTTCTGTGCTATCCAATGTGTTTATGCTGCCATGCTCTGAATAGGATGAAGAGCTCATCTGGCTCTCCCACCTCCCCTCCCACCTGGCATATTTTCAGCTAGTATCTGACTTAAACAGCTAAACCGAGCAAGCATAGGAAGCATTCTGGAGTATTTTTAAGCACGCTTCTCACACCCTTTTATCATGAGAACTGATCATTTAGTGAAAGCTAAAAGTAAAAATTGCATTCAGTCACTTGAGTGCCTCTTCCTGGTGTTAGGCCCAGCTTCACGCTTCTGTCAGAGTAGAACTCTGCTGTTTTGTCCTGAGCAAGGTCTGTAGGTGGTGGTGTCTCCTTTCAGCCTTGTTGACACAGCTCATGCTAGTGAGCTGCCTTCTCAGTTACTGCTTAGCCAGGGCTTTAAAGGTACAATCTGACAAAATAGCAAAATGAAATGGGAAATCCTCCCTTCACTTTCCTTTACTCCCCACTAGTAACCAGCCTTCCTCAAACATCAGCTTCTGACAGTTTATCTTGAATGAGCTGAAAATCTTCATTTTAGTAAAGCATCTGTTGAACTTGATGTACTTGTCTTGCTTTAGAGCTTAGGGTCTGATCTAAATTCGTTGGAGATTAGTGGGAATAGTTCTGTGAGCATTTACTGGTTTTGAACCAAATCTGTAACTGTTATTTTTCATAATGTGTTACAGTTAGTTTTGCATTTGTTTTCAGCCAAAAAAAAATCAATAACTAGGTACTTTATTGTTATAAAAGAGTGCTTCTGAGAAAGAAAGATGTAAAAGGAAGAACCTTTGCAGAAGAAAAAATAACAGAGTTGTAGCCAAAAATATGTTTGTCATTATTGTGCGTTGGATTAGCTTCATAGATTAAGTGAGGTACTGGTACAGTATAAATTCTCTTTCCCATAAAGTGTTGGAGGAATGATTCCCCATAAACTAATAGCTCAATAATTTTTAGGTGGAGGAAAAATGTCTGTTTACTCTTTGTAGAGCAATGTCTAGAATATGGTACGTGCTTTTGCTGTTTACTAATCAATAATTTTGTTGGTATTTTAGAAAATCATAGGCTGGAATCTTCATATCAGAATCATTTAATTCTGAAGGTTTTAGTGGTAAGTATGTAATATAAGCAGCTTTTAAGATTATTTAAAAAGAGAATGTCATGTGTTTTCCTATAATTACCTCACTGAGCTACAGTTTTGTTCAAGGCCAAATACTAGTACAAATATCAGAGTAAACAGGATTTCTGTTGTGGTTGCAGTAATTGCTAGACTGTTTTAGATGCCTCTTTTTATAGCGGAGAGTAGGGGTTTTATTTGTATTGATTTATTCTTTCATTAGGATTCTGTACATGTAAATTTTTCTGTTAATTGATGTGGTCCTGTCTTCAACTGCAACTATTCCTTTCACTTTTTGCAAGACTTTTTGGCAAACTGTGTTTTAAAAAGTTCATGTATTACCTTTGACCTGTACTAACATTCAGACAACCAGTCAGAGGCTGGAGATACATGTCCATCAATCTGCTCCTGTGCAGTTTATAGTATATACTGATCTATCTACTTGGTGGCTCTGAACAAGTAGTTTGTGTGTGAGTATGTATGTTTGGTTGCTCTTTTAGGTGTTTAGATGAAACACTGATTCTAAGGAACTGTACTGTAAATCTTGAATTCCCATATAAGATGTTCAGTAAAAGCGGTTGTAAAGATTGGCTGATTCTGAGACTTAATCTTCTTGTTTTTATTTTGAAAAGATTAAGTCTCTTCCAGAGTTCCTTTTCTTTTTCCTCAGGATGCTTTTTTTTTTTTTTTTTTTAATCTGCTTGTTATCCTTCTGTTACTGGTAACCTCTAGAGCTAAAACTCTTGTACATATCATTTATAGCTTTGTCTCTGCCTTTCTCAAAAAATAACACCATCTCTTTTTCCCCGTAGGAAACTTATATAAAATAATTAAAAAATATATGAAATGTCAAATGTAAGTCACCCCCCAGTTCTCACTTTTACCCTATGAGTGGCGCTCTGCACTCCAAATGTTATCTGTGTTGTCCATGAGCTCCAGAAAAGGAGCCCCAGCACTGATAGCAACTAGGAAATTTCAGAGCTTGGATTATGATTTTTTTTCAGGTACAATACTCGATTATGTCTCATTTTAAAGTAGGGAGTATTTCTCTTGGTCGTAAAACCTCTTGAAGTGATTAAACATGAAGCGCAACTAACATATTGAGGAACAGTTGTACATAATGAGAGAGATATCATCCAACACGTATATTTTGATAAAGTGTTTCTTTGGAAAAAAAAAAGTCGTTACCCTAAATTAAGATCAATACATCCCTTTTATTGTGTTATCTATGGGGAAACTGCCAAAAGATGAAAGTCAAGTAGAAGATGATGTGTTTTTAGTGTCCACATTTCATAAATGAATTGTAGTTCTCTTTGTATACTGTGCTTTAGGAAAGCATGAAGCTTGCCAAATGAAAATCTGAATATGACCAATATTGAAAATGAGGTTTTTCTGACCCAAGTTTTGAAAATGGTAAAGAAAATTTTAAAGAACAGTTTACATTTACATGGAAGCTATTTAGTCAAGGTAACCATTAAGTTAGACGATATTCTGCATTTGAACTTTTGCTTGAGTACTAATAACAAATATTTTTATTTGCAGTTCAACTTCTTAAATTGTTTTGCATCTCTCTTCTACATTGCCTTTGTGCTCTTTGATATGAAGCTTTTGAGGCAGGTGAGTTGCAAGAAAATCTTAAGATTGTTGATGAATTAGGAAAATAAAGGATTGATTGAAACAGGATTTTAGTTTTTAATTATTTTTCTAAAATATTAACTTGACAATGAATATATTTCGTATATATTTTCTTAGAAATCCAGCTTCCATATTTCAGTTCCTCTAGCGCAGCTGCAGAATCATAAGGGTGGAGCAGTTCTTTCCCTTCATATAAATGAGGAGCTGTTTTCAAATAAATTGATTATTCCTTCAGACAGATGAGGCTGGAGAATTTTCATTTCCTTCTTCTTTCCTTTTATGTTAGAAAATGGTTTTCTCTGCAGTGCTCTTAATGAGAGATTTTGAGGATAGGAGCGTGATTAAGTTACGACTACAGTGAGGAGCTGAGAATAAAAGCAAAAAAAATTTGTAGTTGATATTTTATATCAGCTTTCTGCTGTTAACATCTTTTGCACTCAAATTGATGAAAATCAGGTATAAGGAAAGTATTTTTGCTCTAAATACAGTGAACAAAACAAGAACTTCAACTCAAGATCTCTATTCCTCTAAAGAGATCTTCAGCAAAACACTTGACATATCTATACCAGACATGACATTTGTGATATTTCCTGTACTTTAAGGTAAAAAGCAAGAAGAAAAAAAAAATAGGAAAAAGTTCATTGCTTAGCTCTCTAATTGGTGTTGGCATATGTTAAGCATGTATCTTTACCCTTCATTGGACTTTGTGTAATGTCTCTAAGATACATGCAGATCCACCAAATATTTAGACATCTAACTCCTATTTTGTCCTTTCCAGCACACAGCAAAGAATGGGAACTAGAGCACCTATACTTTCCATATGCTATCGCTAGTTTTGTTAGGCTGGCCTTCTTTTGCCGTAGTATAACAACTTAGTGTCACTAGACTGCACAGAATTGGAAATGATCATAGGTTTATCACAGTTCTATTCATTATTGTTTTTCTTTTTTCCCTTTTTTTTTTTTTTTTTTTTGAAACTGAAGAGCTTGGCCACTTTGCTGATAACTTCACAGATCCTTAACCAGTTTGCAGAATCCTTGCTTCCTTACTGGCTCCAAAAGAGACATAAGAGGAGGATGAAGAAACGCATGAGTTCCCTGAAGACAGATACAGACCTGTCATTAGTCGAACAAGTCAACCTGGAGAAAGAAATGGGCACCTATTTTGTACGTTTTACTACTGTTGAAGAGTGAAAAGTTTTCCAGGTTGTAGTTGACAGAGACATCAGCCAGTGCAACCTAAAATATTTCTGGCTGTCTGGCCTGGCAGATTATTTCCAGCTTTATTGATTTTGTTGGTGGTGTTCATACAGCTATATGGTACACTGGGTCAAGAAACTGATAGAGTGCAGGATCCCCATTACAGCAGAATGAAGGGGTAGGAATGAACAGCTGAATCTGGAGCTATTTAACCCTGTAGCACTGAAAGAAGTATTTGTGTAGCATCTCCAAGGGTAGCTTGGAGGCTACCAGGATGATAGCCTGGCATAGGGAAGGGGGAGGCTGTTTCTGTTATGTTTGGTTTTGCAGTGATACTAGTTTAAACTGTCAATTAAACTATAGCCTGAGAGAATGTGCTCGTGTCTGGGTGGGGCCAGAAATGGAGAGGGCAGAAGAGACCAAGTCTTAAAACCAGTATTACTGCCAGAAGCTCTTGAAGTGACAGCTTTGGCATTTGCTGTCTAGTTCCATTCCTGACCACCTCCTGCCCAGTACAATTTTTAATTGTATTTAACAGACTTCATCCAATTAATTACTTGCAGTTCTAAAGGAATGGACCAAGTAGACATCAGTGTGTATGTTAAGGCCTTACAGACTGGTTGACAACTTGCTGATCAGATGCTGCAAGCATGGTCATGAGAGTCTTAATACTGTATGATTTATACTTTTACTGAATAAGAATTACATGTAGATGGTGTACCCTTTATATGAAAGGTAGAGAATAGCAGTACGAAATTTGATATTAGTACTATGTCAGATTCTTCTCTTCCTGCATAAAGTGCCATGAAATGGGAAGAGGAAAAAGAAATGCTACTTTTGCGATTGAAAAACTGTACAATTGTTAATACTTGCATTCCTCCGGGAAGGTTGGTTTCCCACGTTTTATGTGGAGGGAGATGGATTTAGAGAGCATGTCTACCTTACAATGGAGGACACGGGCGAAATGCCCGAGTTAGTGTCTGAACTGGTAAATCAGCACAGTCCAGCACTGTGCCTGCACATAAGCCAGCACAGCTCTAAAAGCTGTGTATTGGCATCGGGCATTGATACACCTGACCAAATAAGCTCTGCCTCTTATACCTGAGCTGACTTCTGAGTCTCAGCTGGCACGTACAAAGCCAGCGTGGTGTCTTTCAGTCATGTTGCCCTGTGCTTCTTGTGCAGAGCTGGATCAAATGTATCTGCACCTGTTGTACTGTTCTGCCCTGAATAATGTTCCATGGGGACCCCGTGGGTCAATTGTAGAGTTAGAAGGTGTCCGCTGCTAGCCTCAGCTTCAGTTCAAGGTACTGTGCACTCAAGGCCTTGATTTTATTTTCAGTCTAAAGATTTTAATTGTGCTGTACTTCTAAACAAACAGCATTAGACCGCTGATTTGTTTGCAAGCAGTGAGCTGTTGGCAGATAAGAGTATTTCTAAAATTAAATCTGTCACAAGGGGGAAGCATTTGACTATGTTTAGTAACTGAGGAGTTTAGCAGGAGTCTTGACAGAATTCTGTGTTTCAGGCTTTCGTTTTTCCTTCCTTCAATTACTCTTTAATGTTGAGCTCTCTGGTTTTTGTTTGTCCTCTTTCTCTCTCACTTTTCAGATCTTCAGCCCTTAACCTGCTTTAAGATGTAAAAAAATCCTGCAATATTTTTTTTTTTTTTTAGTTCTGTTTCTCTCCTCTAGTTCATTTGCTCCTTGAATTTCTTTGTTGATTCTGTTCCCTTGATGCTATAGTTCTTGTGCTGCTCTTGTGGCTGACAATGGCACACTTTGAAATGTCTTTGACATTGTATCAGACTCCTGTTTTCCTGCATGTAGTGTCATAAATTGAGTAGGAGAAAAAGAAATACTCCTTTTTTTGTCATACTCCAGTGTTCTAAAAGTCAATAGTTACTGGGCAAGGAAATGAGAAGAAAGGTGTGAGGAAGGAGTGGGAGTACTGTGCAGTAACCAGAAAGAGGAGCACAAAGAAAAGCATCGCTCCCTGTCTGCAACAGTTGTCTGAGAAAGTGATAGACATGATTGCCACTCCGGTGAGTGATCCTGCACAGGTGTCCTTAAGGAAGACCTTACTAATGAAAATGAAATAATAAAGACTTGACAGTAACTGAGATTATTACAGGAACCACATAAAATTGGTTTTGGCTCCATTCATCAGATACATGGTTCATTCACTTGTAATTGCTGCAATCATAGAAAACGATTATTAATACTATAAAGCTAGTATTCAAATCAGCATTTAAGTACCCACATTCTTGGTTTAAAGATCAGGTGATAGATGTGTTGCACATTTGCCAAAATAGGGCATTTTCTTTGCGCTAATTGTTCCTTTCAGATGTCAGTGCTTCATGCTATCATTTCAGCCTTCAAGTGGGCCACTAATTCTGACTTACCTGTTTTGAAATAAGCAGACGTACCAGAAGAGAGTTGCCTATCTACCAGCCCGCCTTCTGGTTAGGTCTTTCATGGACACTCTGAAATACTAGGACTTGTCTTGTCACAATGCTCTTAGGAGAATGTTCTGCCAGTTTAAATGCGTGGTGGTGTTTTCCTGTCCCCCAGTATTTGTTCTGTGACTGTTTCACTGAGATAGTCAGGAACTTGAATGGGATGAATGTGCTTATACAGTTACTTCATGTACTAAGGGTAAGAAGTGTGACTGTTGCAGAAAATACATATTAGGCAAAAGGGAATACCTTGACCTCCGCTTATTAAGAGGTTTTAAGTAATTGAATAATTCCAAATTAACTAGGTGATTTGTTGTTGTTGTTTTCTATCACCAGTCATTCCCAAACAGCTAACTTGGGATGAGGAAAATGTGTTGATTGTTGATTCTGTATTTCTTCATATTATTTTTTTTTCGGTGGGTTGAATTTCTTATTTTTGCTCTGCTTTTCAGGGTACTTTTGATGATTACCTGGAGTTATTCTTACAGTTTGGCTATGTGAGTCTTTTCTCATGCGTTTATCCACTGGCAGCTGTCTTTGCAGTGTTAAACAACATCACTGAGATATATTCTGATGCCTTAAAAATGTGTAGAGTTTACAAGCGTCCATTTGCAGAACCCACAGCAAATATTGGTGTTTGGCAGGTAATTTTTGTCCTTTTCTATTAATTTCTTTTAAAAGAGGTTTCAACAAATTTGTATAAGCTGTGTGTTTGACCCCTCAGCCAAACTTAAAGTTTAGTAGGTACTTTGTTCTCTTCAGTGCCTTAGGATAGTATCTCTCCAACTGTATAGCCAAGTGATTTTTTTGGTAGAGTTTTTGCCCACGTGTCTTTCAGTTGCCTTTGAAAAGAAAACGAATCCTTCCTTTAGTCCTTGTATACGTATGCACTGTACTCCAGTTACAACTGCAACAAAGCAAAGCTGCCAGGGACTGCCTGGTACTCTTTACAGCCAACATGTTTTAGAAATGGTAACATCTGATGCAATCTCAGAAACGAGCTCAGCGAGGGTTTCAGAAAAAATGAAGAATGATAGGCGAGTGCTTGGATTCCTAAGCCATGCTTGACTGTGTGCCCTTGTGATGATTGGTACTCAAGCTGACTAATTTTGAAATAACCTGGATCTGTGAGCAGGGGCTGGACCTTTCTGCACAGCCTGAATAAACAATTTCATGCTAGCAATACTGGATTAAGGATTTTCTGTCCTCAGTTGTTTGCCCATGCTAGCATGCTAGCACCAGCTAGTTTGCAGCCTGCTGAGTACACTGCATCAGTGAACTGGTTCTGACTGAAAATAACCTTGTAAAACTCCTCCAAACCCAGAGATTTTTCTGAAAAGAAAGGGGGCTATTAAGGCTGTATTGTTCTGTAATAGCAGTGGCCTGATAAAGAGTGTGAAGTAGGTTGGAGGAAGTTTCTAGGGGATGATCTATAAATATATAATGAAATGAGAGTTTTATTTAACAACTTTTCTAATGATACGTAATAAAGACAAAGGGCACAATAAACTAGTGGGTTGTTTAATTTGGAGGGGTTGTAAATGTTGGTACCAAGTGAAACAAATGGGAGGTGAGAATAAAGTTGGGAAACCTCAAATGAAAAAAAAGAACCCCAAACAACACATGCAAACCAAGTATTCTGAGCAAGCTCATTAGACATGAACATAGGTATTAATGAAGTGGACTTACAGGAGAAGTCTTTTAATACTAAGTCATTAAAATGTGTAAACTATAATCTGATTGTGTTTTAACTTGTGGTGCATTTTCTCAGTCCCAATCTATTCTACCAACATCTTGATGGCATAGCTGCATTGACCAGTGCTGTGACCACCAGATGAATGAGAGACTGGTTCTGTCCCAAGTGTAGCTGCAGGTCTATTAGTAGCATTTCGTTTTGCTAGAATAATTTAGTTGAATCTAGGGAGCAGGCTGGAAAACTTAACACTAATGGTATAGTCATGTGGGTTTTTTTTTTTTATAGTGTAGGTTTTTAACTAGTAGAAGAAATGCATTTGCTTTGTGAATTAACTAAGTTGATAAGTCATTATTTTTATCTGTTTCATGTGGGAAGTTAGAGCATTGGCTGAAAGGTTTCTGTTAAAGGAATACTGGAATTATTTTATCAGGTGAGCTGAGTCACCAGCTTGTGGTCAAGGAGAAGGTTACTTCTGCCAATTCATTGTGACAATTGCTACAATTCAATGTCAGTATTTCTCATTCCAGATAGGAACTTGGACTTAGTAACTGTTATATTTCAAAAGTAATTGTCATGCTGTAGTAATGTTTTCACACATTTTGTGAGAGCTCTGTAGGCAAGAGCTTCTTAGATTTGTGCAGTTCCATGTGTTTAAATGTAAATCTTTCTTTCAACAAACTTCATCTTGTATAACTGGCTGTGATTTTAAAAAAGGCGTTCTGAACCATCCTTACATTTCCTTTTAAACATTCAGACAAAACGTCCAAAACCACAGTGTTTGGACTATTAATTCCTCTAGGAATTTTGCATTTTTTCCTTTATCCTGAAAGAAATTTATGTTTGGGAGTACAACTGTAGGGGGGTGCGTACTCCTTTATGCATTCGGGTTATGAGTCATGAAGATACCACGGATAAGGTTGCTCTCCTCTCCATTTTTTTACTTTAGTGTTATTCCAAAATTTCCAGGTTACCTACATCTAGAATGTTAGTGGTCTCTGAATAACTTCTGAACATCTTTACGGTGCTATGGAATTGTGGAAGAATATTGTTTAACTTCTTCACAGCAAACACGCATACATGCACATAGAGAAATCAAGTTAGAGAAAATTTCAGGGTTGACAGGTGGTCTTTGTGGTTTTGCAAACCTTATTGTAGTCTTGTCCTTGCCTGTTCTTAAAGCTGATGAATTCTGGACTGCTTGCCAAGCAAGTCTTATGTTGTAGAATTCAAAAGATGAAAGTAAATAAAAAAGTTTAAATACTGGATCTTCTGAGGATTTGACGAAGAGAGAGGTATTGTCCAGAGCAATTTGGGGACTGGTAAATTAGAGATAATGGTCATAACTATAAATATATTTGTGTTTTATTTCAGCTGGCTTTTGAAACTATGAGTGTAATATCAGTTGTTACTAATTGCATACTGATTGGAATGTCTCCACAAGTGAATGCCCTTTTCCCAGACTCGAAAACGGACCTTATTCTGACTGTGGCATTAGTAGAGGTGAGTCTGCCTTCAAACCTGGCATGTGCTTTAGTAGCGAATAGCATGAAGAGGTCCGTTCCAACCCCTAACATTCTGTGATTCTGTGAACAACAGTGGAAATGATACCAGGAAGTAGACTCTCCCCTGCTCCTTATATTAAAAGGAGACAAAGGTTTCCCCATCAAAGAAGTCATGCTTTTTGGTTTCTTTCTTTTCTGTATATTCATGTACCGTGAACGTTGTTGTCATACTTTTCTGTACATTCCCAAGATACCATGTATTTGTTTCATGTATTTCAAGAATTTATAGTGCTATTTCAAGAAACAAAATAACTACATTTTTGTGAACTGCTTATTTCTCTACTTGGTTTGTGACTCCAGCATGTCTTATAAAGACCTCCTATATAATCTTTATGGATGTTTCCTGTAAGGCTTACCTGAAACAAGTATGTAAGATGACTATAAATACTAGTGATTGTAACAGCATTTGGGTTTCATCATTTCCTAATTCTATGTAGTGAATGCTTGAGTGTCACTCCTTTTCAGACAAGGAGGGATGACTATGGACATTTCATCTAATAACTGAGATCATAGGACTTTGCCTTTATGTATCTTTTTTACAGAGCTTTCTTGTATTGCATTGCCTTGACTTTCATCATTATGCTATTTTAGCTTTTAGGAACCGGATTACTTTTCTTGTGGCAAAAAGTCTGGGTTGTCTATGTGGTGTTGTTAAACTGCAGTGCCTTACAGGGGTGTAGCAGGAGCACGTAATTCTTCATTGTTGTTTTTACAGGTGTTAAGTGTTATGCAATGAATTATGAGCTTGCTTGGAGTTTTATTTTCCAAGCCTTAAGGTTTGCAGAGTTAACTCTAAATATGAATCATGTCAACTGGTTTACTGAAGTTCGAGTCTACAGACAGCCTGATGTATTCTTCTATTATGTGTGCGTGAACATTTGCGTTAACTTCAGTGATGTGTTTTAATATGAACCCGATTTGGCAATTTAAATGTAATGCTATAGTTCATTACTGGACAACATATCCAGAGAGTTCATATTATGCAAATTGTATGACTGAAAGTAAACAGTCATGTAAACAGATTTATGGCACCTTAAAGAGATGGGGCTATTTTTGCATTTCTTCCTGAGTATTTATTCCCATTTTATCTGTTTTAATGTGAAGCTGGCTATGAGGTCTCTACCAAGACCTCTGTTTCTTGGTAGGCTGCAAGAGGATACCAGTATTTTTCTCTCTAAATTTAAATTCTGCTTACATGCAGTCCTTTAGGTGACAGGAATTGCAGCATGGTAATTAGGTAGCTCTTTGAATTCCTTTTTAACAGTGTGTCTCAAATTATCTATAAATGCTGTGGAAAGGGAAATTAAGAAAACAAAGGGAAGAAAGTTTGAAGAGAAAAGGTAAATTAGTACTGAGGGGAGGAAAGGTAAAAGTGTTGTCTTATACTGAGAAGCAACCTTGGCGAAGACCACCAATCTGTAATTAACTGTGTTGTACGAAGGGACTGATGGAGGATAATGCTGGATGAGCCAGAAGAGAGGAAAGGCAACCATTTGGTTAAAGAAAAGTCAAGTTTTCTCTTATTGTTTCTCTTATTGTTCTACTTAGTAAAAAATATAAGAACAACTCGTAATTGTCAGAAAAGGTGTATTTAAAACATAGTTTTAATCACAAGTATCCAGTATGCTTGATACTTTTAGGTGTGCTGGTTTGATGTTGTTCGGTATTTTTGGCTGCTTTTGTGTTATTACAAACTATTTATTGTCTGAGAAAGCACAAAGACAAAACCAATATGATTCTTAGAGTACTTTTCTGCAGCATAACAAGCCATGTGACTTTTGGAATGTTGTTGGTTATAAACAATTTCAAAACTGTTCAATGTGAAATTTGAATCTTTTGCAGTCTCCTGAAGACCAGTCTTTCAGAACATGTTAAACAATATTTAACTTTATGGGTGGGGGTTCGGTTCGGTTTGGTTTGATGTTTTTTAGAGTCAGAGAATACCTCAGGTTAGAGTCTTGCAAGAAGTCTCGTAACACAGATTATGAAGTTTGTGAGGTCCAAAAGAATTCTTCAAAGTGAAACACGTTTCGTATTTAAATTTTATTTTTTAAAAACGGTATGAAAATGAACCCAACAAACATGATTCTCACTTCTGTTGAAGACTGTTTCCATTGTGTTGACAGCTGAACATGTTTTCAGTTACAGAAATGATGTTTTTTATCAGCAGTTATGTTGTACATGTTTCAGGTTAAAATGCTGATTACAAAAGTAGAAAGAAGGGAGAATTACTAGATGCTGTGGGACTATGAACAGCAGTATGTATTTATGGCAGCTTAAAGAGTTGGAGCTGTTTTTGCAGTTGCTTCCTAGGTGTTTTCCCGTCTTGTCTGTTACGCTGGCAGTTTTATCTGGTGCACGATGAATCACATTATGGAATTGATCTGGGAGAAGCTGTCTGACCCAGTTCACTGGTGGAAGGGAATAGGGCAGAAGCAACCGTGTGTGGAAGACACAGCAGTGCTGTAGGTTTATGCTGGATTAAATTTGTGGGACTTCTGCACCACTGAATCTTTCTCCTGTATTACTTCATCTATAGGAAGATCCCCTAAACTATGAGAGAAGCACAATTCTCATGTATTGGCAGTATTCCCATGCACCTTTACTATATTAATGATTAAACTGTGCATTTCAGTTGTAAAGAAAAATTCAGGCACAGAATATGTCCCATTAAGCCTCTAGGACAAACCTGGTACATCTAAATTACATCAATGTCAAGGTAGGAAAAAATTCTGTTGGATGTGTCGGGGTGTTGATAGAAAAGCATTTTAGATCACCTAGTAGAGATTCAGAAACACATGATACAGGTGAATTATTTTACTTTCTGGTGTTTGGTGCAGGTGAAGATGAGAATTTTATGGTGTTTTTATGCTATTTTCACAGCAGCTTGGCAGGCAGGAACACAAGGAATTTCTTTTGGTAGGCTATGTATGCTTTCACGTGTTCAATTGATGGAGTAACCTACTTAAATCTTAGCTGTTATTATATATTTTTGTCATGCTTAAGTAGTTGAGACTATATATGCTTGATGCAAAGCTAAACAGAAAAAGCACTGTTCTTACCAAAGCCGACCATAGATATTAACAATATCCTGATTTTTTTCCAAAAAATGTTAGTGCTTTTTAATAATACTGCTACTAATAAAATGGAAACATGTTTGTATGGCAACATTTGACATCATTCAGTACAGATGTAATGAAGAATCGTGTGATATTCTTGTAAGCATTCTGTACCCAGCCCCTACAGATTTATGCAAAATAATTTCTCTTTCATTAACAACACTAACTCTACTGCTGTCTACACTTTTGGTGGAAATACGTGTTGTATTAGCAAAGTAAATGCTAATTAAATAGAATAAAATGTTAGGGATTTCATAATAAATAGTGTTAAGCATTAAATTAATAACATTTAATAATAATTTTAAAGTATTAGACCAATGATTTTTATTTTGAAACAGTTGACCTGTTTTCATCAATCCAACATCTGCTTCCATGGTACCATGGTTTGAACCAGGAGCAGAATCATGAAACTCCCCTCTTTTACTTACAGATGAATGCTGAGTGCAGCAAGTGCAGTTCCCAAACAAAAAGTAGGTGAACGTCCTTAAAGCAGGAAACAATAAGCCCTTATTAACTTAATTTTAAAAGTGTTATATCTCATAGTGTGTTTAGTTCTTCAGGGTTTGCCATAGACACATACTTCTGGAATGAACCACAGGTGTAAAGTGGGACATTCCAAGCAAGCATCTGTGCTTGCATGAAGCTGTTCCTAATCACCTCTCACTTATTACTCTGATTTGATGGGGGGTGGGGGGAAAAAAGGAAATTACTTTGAAGAAATTTGGTGAATAGTTGGGGGAGTGGGTTAAAACAAGGTGTAACCTTAATTCTGCAGTGCTTTTTTATTTTTCCTTGAAAATTGTTGACAAAGAGTTTTGTTCCTGATGACTATTTCTTTTTCTTTTTAATGTAGACTCTCATAAATTCAAAGAATGCTAATTAAATCGGTTTCAGGACTACTCGGGAAGTTGAGACCAAGAAATTTGTTGTATGTACAACTCTTAGTAGTGATTTTTAATTTTTTTTTTAAAGTACATTGGTAGGGGTGTTTTGAAGCATTGGCTGTAAAATACAGCTTAACGTGAATATACCCTCATCTCCAAAAGTAACTTGAGTATCCATCACTCAAATTGATGGAAAGCTTTTATGCAGAGGTACACTTAGCCTGGACGTTTTGCATCACGTCGAGGCATTTGGGGATTAGCTTGGAAATACTAAATCATAACGGGGGGCCTTCTTGATAGCTATAGTATAAAATCTGAACTTACAGTCTGCAAATATGCTTTTGGGAAGAATGTAATCAGCTCTGGTATAGATGAAAATGAGGACCTTAGCGTAAGGACAGAACTAGCATATTTGTAGTAAACATGGCTTAATAAACAATTGGGCTATGTGGATTTGATTTCTTGGAGGCCTCATAAGGATTTGAGATGGATCTTCATGAGCTTCATAAGAAAAAAAAATATTTAAAAGTCAGTTCTGTAAGTGGTATGGAGTGGCATAAGGGAAGTAACCCTTTCTTAAGATTTGTATTTTCTGGATGAGGAGGAGCTGACAGTCCATTTATCAAAGGCTGGAAAGCAGGAGTCGTAGCGTGTTAATAAAGCTGAAAAGTTAGTGGTGTTATGTTTAGAAGTGTTAGCTGATCCAACATCAAAGTGGCTGCCTGGTACATCTGCTTTTCTCTGTATTTCCATTTTATTAAGCGTATTTCTTCATCAAAGGCTTCCTGATGTACAGTAGAAGCTCTTTGAGTTTCTGTTGAGCATTCTAGTGTAATGGCCCCAAGACTCAGTCAGCTCAGCAGTAAACTTGACAGTTGTTTCTGAAATGATGTGCCAAAGAACCTGGGAAACACTACCAGAATCAAGCAGTTTGG